TACCGAACTGTCTCATTATTTGCGGGTCCTGGAGTATGCATACATTTGAATACGATTTATTTGCACAGCTACGCTATGCATGGCGTAACGCTTTGGCTTTTTGGTTAGTTTCGTGTCCAATGCGGTATAGCATTTCATTCGAGTTCATTTAGTGGATCAAACACAGATAAAAATGCACTGAGACCTACCCAAAGTATGGTAGGCCTACAATGAGTCAAAAGTTGAATTAAATTTTCAAGATTTTATGCCCGGGTTTTGTTTAAAATCCACTCAGATTTCGTGTTGAAAACGGTCGTTTCATTGAATGAGGTGTTCGAAATTAAATCAGTTCGCTGTTTTGTCTGAACCAGAATGACCGCGTTACGAAATTAAGCTCTTTCCCTTTGATTCGATTCACCATGTCAGATATTAACCCAAAACTTCCTTGATGTAAGCCGTTTACTAATCAGCACTCCAATTCTGCCGAAGGACATAACAATAGCCCTTGGAACAAGTGTATATACACTTGTATTGTAACAGTTTCAAGCACAAAGACTGAGAGGTTACTAAGTGTTAGCAGTGGCCCGGGGACCGCCGACGAATTTTTTTTCTGTCAAAGAGGTTTTTGACCCTAAGCGAATCAGCGGCACGGTAGCCCCCATCACTTGGTGGATATTTTCCCCCGGTGCGCGTTGGTTTTGCTTGCAGGCCTCCGTCCGTGTACACGTCCACGGAGTAATGGTCCCCGCGAAGCCTTGATTGATTGCCGACTGTCTTCCCGTGGACGGCAGCGGTCGCGAGGCGGTCAGAGAACGCCGAAGATATGTGCCTCTCGACCGGGGGGAATGGAAGGCGGTTGTCACAATTGCTACCGGAAATCAATTCGCCTTGGTTGGCAACAAGATTTCTACTAGACGCTACCCTGCAGTGTGTAGGCTTTGTTTGGGGGTGAAATCTTGAATGCTCGGGAGGAGAGGCGTGGAGAAATAACCTTAGAGATTAGAAAAAATTAGTATAATTATTTAAACAGTTAAATGCATTACTTTAAGAAAATGGGCGGTTTTCGCTTTAAGGGGCTTTTTATGCAATGTAATTTTTATAATGCACCACTTAAAAGTGCACCTTTGCGTCCCATTTAAGTATATTTCAATTCTTTGTTTTGCAACTTGGACAGTATTTGTGTGTTTAATGTTCATGCAATGTATATTCATGAGCAAAACTGATAGTAGTTTAGACAAAAATCTCAACTGTTACGGTTATTTCAGCACAAAAAGTTGCTACAGTTTTGCAATGCTTTGCTCTGGTAAACTCTCTTCTGTAAGTACATGGCAGCGTGGTTTCAATATTGAGCCAATTCCTGGTTCGAAAATTTAAACGGAAAATCCTTAATTTGAGCAGTGTCTCACCAGCATATCACAGCAGCATTTGTACTTTTCAAATGTTACTGTGAACACGTGTTTCAATTAGGGGGGGGCCATCAAGTAATTTCCTTTGAACTCATTCCTATTGATTGGTTGGTGTAATTTTCGCATATTCTTATTTTCAGTGCCTTTAACATGACGAATAAGGACCACCTACAATTAAGCTTCCTGGTAACTTATAGCTTTGGGGACAAATTTGAAACCACACTCATTCCAGGTTCACCCGGCGAAATTTCTTGTTCTGAGAGCAGCAGCACTAGTCATTCAAATCGCATGGCCGGCTGTGCCTGCCTGTCAAACCCATGGGTAGTTGGATCACTGAGCACTATCCACGGTACGGACGGGCCACGGAGGCTCTTTATCGGCGCAAATTTGAACGCCGTGAATGATGTTGATTAGGAACTTGCAGGTGGATGGGGCGCTTGAGCGCTCCATCACAACACCCAGCTTTAAACAGCTTAATCAATTCACCAGCTTGATAGAAAAGTCCCTCGACCCATTCACTTAAAAGCCAAGAACTATCTACCAAACGATGTTAAAGTACAGAGGGATAAAAACCGTCCTCCCATTTATCATGTCTCCTGCTTATTGTATTGAAGGGTTTGTGTGTGTGTGCAATTGGAGACCCCAGTGAAGTTCAAAGCGGCCGCTTTCTGAAGGTTGAAACGCATGGCGGCCTCAGTACACATAAAAGCCTGCACTGCAATATTTCCACTCATGC